AACACGCATGTACAGCTACTGCGCATGTGCAGCACCCAGAGGATAGCCCAGAACGTGCTTACAGTAACACCTCTTCCCAGCTCCTTAGGAATTCATCATGGAAGACTCCCAGAAAGGGAGTTTCCCCAGTAATAATCGGCGCTGTCTCATCCTTACGAGCAGCCTGTCCTGAATTCTGTGTCTCAGGGTGAACTGTGTGTTTTGCACTTCACTGTTTTTTTTGAGTTGGGGTGTCGCTCTGTCACCCAGGCTGGAGTGCAGTGTTGCAATCTCAGCTCACTGCAACCTCCACCTCCCGGGTTCAAGCAATTCTCCCATCTCAACCTCCTGAGTAGCGGGATTGCAGGCTCACACCACAATGCCCAGCTAATGTTGGCTAGGCTGGTTTGAACTTCTGAGCTCAAGTGATCCACCCGCCTCGGCCTCCAAAAGTGCTGGGATGACAGGCATGAGCCACTGCACCCAGGCTATTCTAAACTTTACTTCCAAAATACTTTTCCTGGGCAATAAATTGCTCTATGCTCCATCGCCTTGGCTGTGTGATTCTTCTTTCAATTCTTTTTTATTTATTTATTTTTTCAGACAGGGTCTCACTATGTTGCCCAGGCTGGTCTCGAACTTTGCAGCTCAAGCAATCTGCCTACCTTGGACTCCCAAAGTGCTGGGATGACAGGCATTAGCCACCACATCCAGCCTAAATTCTTTTAAACTTAGAACTGCGGCCCCACAACAGCTGTCAGTAGTCTCACCACTGCACTCTAGTCTGGGCCACAGTGCAAGGCCTCATCTCAGAGAGAAAAAGACCTATTTTTAAAAAAGAAAAAACTTAAAACAAAGATTTTTCTTAAATACAGGATATCCCAGGCCAGGTGTGGTGGCTCACACCTGTAATCCCAGCATTTTGGGAGGCTGAGGCACGTGGATCCAGAAGTCAGGAGTTCGAACCAGCCTGGCCAACATGGTGAAACCCTGTTTCTATTAAAAATACAAAAATTAGCTGGGCATGGTGGCACAAGCCTGAGGTCCCAGCTGCTCGGGAGGCTGAGGCAGGAAAATTGCTTGAACCCGGGAGGCAGAGGTTGCTGAGCCAAGATCATGCCACCACACTCCATCCTGGGCAACAGAGCAAGACTCCATCTCAAAAAACAAACAAACAAACAAACAAACAAAACAAAAACAAAAAAAGCACACAGTGTATCCCAGCTGGGTGAGGTGGCTCACACCTGTAATCCTTGCACTTTGGCAGGTTGAGGAGGGTGGATCACCTGAGGTTAGGAGTTCAAGACCAATCAGGCCAACATGATTTAGTAGAGGGTTTAGTAGAAACCCCGTCTCTACTAAAAAAAAATACAAAAATTATCCAGGCCTGGTGGCAGATGCCTGTAATCCCAGCTACTCGGGGGGTTGACGCAGGAGAATCACTTGAACCCAGGAGGCAGAGTTTGCAGTGGGCCGAGATCGCACCATTGCCCTCCAGCCTGGCGACAGAGAGAGACTCCATCTCAAAAAACAAAAAAAGAGAGAGAGAGAGAGAGAAAGAAAGACAGGGTCTCCCTCTGTTGCCCAGACCAGAGTGCAGTGGCATGGTCATAGCTCACTGCACCCAGGCTCAAGTGATTCTCCTGCCTCAGCAGCTGGGACTACCGGTATGCATCACCATGCCTGGCTAATTTTTTAATTTTTTGTGGTGATGGCCTCGCTATGTTGCTCAGGCTGATCTTGAACTACTGGCCTCAAGTGATCCTTCTACCAGGGCCTTCTTGCAAAGTGCTGGATGACAGGTGTGAGCCACCGTGCCCGGCCCCCCGAAGCTGCCTGTTCCTTGAACATGATGTGTAGCAAGGGGAGCTGGAGTGAGAGCAGCACAGTGGCGAAGGGACACGACTGCCACCCTGAGCTGTGTGACGTTAGGCCAGACCCCTCTTCTCCAAGGGAGGTCAACCACACGGGTGATTTCGGGAGCCCGTGCCCACTCAGACAGCCTGGAATTTAGCTTTGTAGGTGGATGGGAACCTGTGAGGGTTTAGAGATGCTGGGAGCACCTTTTTCCTGGGAGAGCTTTCCAAACAGGGAACAAACAGAGC